CTCCAGCGTAAATAAACAAATAATTATATTTTTAGATAATGAAATGAAGAAAGAAAGAAAGAAAGAAAGAAAGAAAGAAAAAAATGAATGAATGAATGAATGAATGAATGAATGAATGAATGAATGAATGAATGAAATGAAAACCATTCATAATGCGTGCAAATAATTAAAATAAAATAAATGTAATTGCCCACACCGTTTGGCTCATTCGTTCGAAGATGGACTTTAAGTTCGGAGATTCCGCCTCAGTGTGACAAGGGAAGATAAACCTATACAATGTCACAGTTTCACTCTGGTAAGAAACTTGATGAACGTGTGCAAGTTCAAAGATAAAATTGCAGATGTGTGCAGTTTAATAGTCCGGCTCTGCAGCGAGCGCGTGAGAGATATGAGTTCAATTTCCACTTGGGGGGAAGTATATTTCCTTAAACAGAATATGATCTAGTATTTTTACTAAGATATGGTACCCGGATACCCGACACAAACCAAGCTGGCTGTGAAAAGCTTCATTGTCTTCCTAGCCTGCCTCTACCGTGATCTACACTGTGTCGATAAGGGATTAGCATAGCTTTGAATCGTGATGCATGTATCCAAAACTGTGCTATTGATCAAAGCTTATCTGCTGGGGCCGATGAGACCAATTCTGGCAGTTTGCCTCAATTTGAACATTCAATAGCTCCACTTCCACCTGTGGATGCGCGCTTCTAAATTGACACCTAAATTTTTCTCCTAAATTTTACGCTTAAATCGGTACTATTTCGATCATAATTTGGGGGGCAGGCTATTTCTACGCTTCTATAAATCACTAGTCTGGCTATAATATTATATCCGAGTGCGCGTGCATCCTTTTCTTCCTTGCGCTTCATTTGGTTCCTCAGTCTAAGATATTGTCAAACAAGTCTATGCTTTTGTTGTTGTTGTTATTTGTTTGTTGTTGTTGTTGTTTTTGTTGTTGTTGTTTTGTAAGGGAGGGATGATTTGTTTTTTATTGTTTTTTATTTTTGTTTTATTTAGGGGATGGTGTAAGTGTTTTATAACAGCGCTGGCATCTGCGTAAGGCGGTATTAGCGCGTGGGACACATTAAACATTTTCAGTTTGGTAAGAATTAATTTTTGAATTTTGCCCGGGCTGCCGAAGCCTACTCTTATCGTGTTTAGGATCACCGAGAGATCTTTAACGTTTGCAATTTGCAAATGAGACCCCCGAGATTTGTTTGCCCTCGTCGGATAATGCTAGTTGTTAGATCTTACCTAGTCTAAGATCAGGGGTGGGGCTGAAAGACAGCAGTAAGAAGGATCCAAAGAGTAGCAGAAGAAAGACAGAAGAAAAAGTTGGGAGCCCAGAGAAGGGGGCAAGGGGGAGCGCAGAAAGTGGAATCAAAAGCAGACGACAGAACATGCTTCCAGAGCATGGAAAGGTGTGAAAGGAGAATTGTTTTAAAGAACAAAGTTTTCCGTCGCCGCCAGGTTTCGAACCTGGGACCTATTGAATGAGAGGCGAACACGGTATCTCCAAGACCACGAGAGCCCCCTATGGGGTTTACATATACAAAGAGTATTTTCAGCTAGGTAGAGAAACTGTTACATACATTGTGCTTTTCTGCCATCAACCAATGTAATAGTGTTAGGTGCCTGTTTCCTCCTAAATAATTGAAACTTTGTACATTTCATATGCGGGGGACAGGACTAAAGATAATATAATAACAGTATAACATTATGCAACAGCAAAAACAAAGTCAGTTCCAATAACAAGACCAGCAACAACGACAACAACAACAACCACAACAACAGCAACAACAACAACAACAACAACAATAATAATAATAATAATATCAACCACAACAACAACAACAAAACCAATAGACTTACAATTCTGCGCTGGGAATTCCACGTTGAGCGCAGAGGGCACAAGAGGGTTTCTCACTGTAGCAAAGCCGTCAGCCACACTGTCCTCTGCGAACAGCAGTCTGTTCCCTCTGCGAACAGAAATGTGTCATGACATGGTAAAAACAGGCGCTCGTCAATGTTTGTGCATATAAAGTTATTGGTATCCTCCTGAAACTTGTTCGTTTATTGTCTTCCTTTTGATGAATAAAATATCCGCCTGTCTTGAATAAAAGTCGAGATATTTGCGATTGAAAGAGGTGGGTGTAAGAAATATAATAATTGAGAGAATGGCCGCCAAAGTTTGATGGCATCCAAAGCATTGGAAATTTACATTTTGTGTGTCTTCGATCAACTTTTTTCAGTAAAAACCGACAAGGAAATGTTTTAGCTAGTTAGCCCCCCCCCCCACCCCACCCCACCCCCCCACCCCCACCCCACCCCACCCTAAGAATCGATAAAATTTGCACAACCGGTGGGGAAAAGGTTGGTTTCTTCGATTTCATTAATTTGATGATTTCACCACGATGCCTCACATAATAATATGTCCTATCAACAGGAGACCAAATCCAATGTCGTGGCACTTTTCTTTCGAACCATCATACCAAAATCAGCAACGCGAATTTGCATAAGTCGTAGTGTGCATTATAATAATGCTTGCCTGCCTCTTTGTGTTTAGTGTTTAAGGTTAAGAAAGCAGATTGGTAAATCTACGGTAAGAATAACGAACCATAATTCTTTTTTTAAAGTATTCAAAAGCATCACGTATTGTGGAATGACTACAATACGTGTCATCAATTCTTATTTGGTAACCTTGAACTGGATTCATCAGTGAATAAGAAAAGTAGAAATGTTTGTTTTTATTAAATCAAATATGGTTATGCCAGACTTACATCAACTCTAAATCCAACCAAAATGTTTGTCCCAGTCTGAAACTAATGAACATGTTGCAGAATCGGGAGTTGGTAGCACAACTCGTTTGGTCAGAGCTTGGGTTATATTTTTATAGCCGAAATTGTCTAAGATGGCCACCTTTTGTCCAGGAGAAAAGTCTCTGACTTCGATAGGTGGGTGTCTTACACAATGTCAAGATGATGCGCTTTAAAAAAAACTGCATTAGGGAGTGGGGAGGGTGGAAAGTGGTCTTTTGTACAGGTGGTTTGTCTTTTGCAGGTGGCCGTTAGAGCAGGTTCGGCTATACTCACATTTTCCATCCGCGCTTGCCGGAGTTGTAGACCCTGACTGCGTCCCCTCCGGGGAGTAGGGTGTAATTGGCAGAGATACAGTAGGACATGAACTGGTAGGGAGCGTCAAAGGATTCCGTGGCATACCATTTCCCCATGTACTGGCGAACAAACAAAAAGAATTACACAAATAAAGATAGAAATGACAAAATTAGCGTCATATGTTTTTCGTTAAAAAATAGGTCAGTTTATTGTAGGCAGTTTATTAAATACAATGTATAACCTGAATAAAGTGCACAATCAAGGCTTAACTAAATACTAAACTGTTATTGATAATGAACAAAATATTATAATATCATTTTATTAAACCAGTATATCCCTGGACACATATTATACATAACTGCTAGTTTGATTTATGCCCTTTAAAGACCCTAGGTGCCCTGGCGAATCTGTTCCAGAGTAAGCAAATTCGCCCTGCACAATGATACGAAAAGGCTTTAAGACTATATCAATAAATCGATATGGCCCTAAACTGACGAGCGCACGATTCTACCTCGTCGTGACGTTTATGCCTCACCCGTTGGATGTTGAAGTTGTCCATCGACGGTATATCCGGGCATTTTCCCCAGGACAGGACAATGAAGCCGCCAACGGTGGTGAGCTGGACGAAGACCAGCACCAGGCTGGTCAACAGAAAGGGTGACGTCATGATTTCAGAGCTGCCGTCTTGGGTGAAATTTCAGTCTTCTGGGGAGGGGGGGGACATTCAAGAATTATACATACGGGAATAACGGTTGGTCTGTGGCCGGGGTGG